TCTTTTTTCTGTGTAGCCCACTCGGAATCTGTTTTTATAAAACTTTAACATCACCAGTGTCACTCGCACTGCCAAGATGAATCCAATGACACCTCTTGAGTCAAAATGCCTTTAGCCCATAAAATAGAACTTTTTGACTACATACATACAACATGCCCACGCGTGAAAAACATAACCCGCCTTCTAAGGCAGTCGGGTAAGAATTGTCTAAGTAGTCTAATCATATTAGACGAAAATACCCCTGGCTTGCGAAATAATTGTAAAGTCTATCTTTATTGCTGCAAGTTGTTCAAGGGGGTATTCAAAACATGGACGCATAAAGTGGGTACACCAACTTTTGTGGGAAAACTTTTTATTCGACAACAAAGAATGAGCTGATGGGTTTTTGGGATTCAATCGAAAGTGTTGTCAGGAATTTAAAAACTCTTCAAATATGATTTTTAGGTATTTATGAGACCCACAGAATGAGGCAATACGTGACAAGATCGACGAATTGCAAAAATGTTATGACCTAAAAACGAGACAAAATGCAGGTTTTGGCACTTGTTGGTAATGCGACGATAGTTTTCCCATTCTTTGTTATCGAATAAAAAGTTTTCCCACAAAAATTAGTGTACCCATTTTATGCGTCCATGATTTAAATACCCCCTTGAACAACTTGCATCAATAAAACCAGACCATAGAATTATTTCGCCATCCAGGGGTATTTTCATCTAATATGATTAGACTAATACATACAGTGAGTTATCGTACTAATCAAGGATTCTTTACATGATCTGAGATGCTAAAAATTGTTTAAAATCAGCGTAAATGCGGTTTTTTCCATTTTTCGCAGTTTTTTTTACCACGAATCACAATGAGTCAGACATGTTATGATATCCTACTCTGATAATATAAAAAAAATGAGGAGAATCCGTGAAAATGCCGTTTACCTAAGAATGCACTAAAATACATATGTGTACTGAGTTTCTGAGTAAGCCAAGTTATGGCATCCTAGTTTGAATATGTAAAAAATTGGAAAAATCGGTGAAAATTCAGTATACTCGATTTTTGGCGATTTTCCGGACAAGAAATCACGATTCTGACAACAGAACTGGAAAGAACTTAGAAAATAGGAATATACAGTGGGTTTCTGTGTTAGTCAAGTATTCCTTCTCTCACAAAAGGCATCAAAAATTGAAGAAGATATGCGAAAATCCGGTTTTTCCCACTTTCGCAATTTTCCGGGAAACACATCACAATTTTGACTACGGAACCTGGAAGGGATTAGTCAACTGATGATATCCTACTCTTAAAATGTCAAGCATTAAGGTAAATCGGTGAAAATGCGGTTTTTCCGATATTTGGCTGTTCTCCGGACAAAAATCACGATTCTGACAACGGAGCTGAAAAGAACGTACAAAGGTACATATTTTCGTTATTTCTTGGGAAACAAATCACAATTTTGACTATGGAACCTGGAGGAAATCCCAAAAATACGTAGGTTGAGTTTTCGAGTTAGCCAGCGTATGGTATCGTATACTTTTAAAATGTCAAAAGTTGAGGAAAATTGGTAAAAATGCGGTTAACCTGAATTTTGGCGATTTTTCGGGCAAATGTAATTAAATATGTACTTACATACAACGGCTGCTGTAACAAAAAACACTATACTTATCTCTGCTAAAGAACCTTAATAATTAAAAGAACAACAACTATGTAACAATTATGATAATAATAACTAACTAAATCTATTTATCTGCTTAATTAATTGTTCAAAGTTCCCACCACCAGCAACCGACGCTTAAATGATTCGATAAAATTTCTTAACATTTGGTGGTTAATGCTCTGAAAAACTTCCCGTATCATATCTGGCCTATTAGCTCTTCTATTAGCTGAAGTCTTATAGACCTCTTCTTTAACGAAACCCCAGAGAAAATAGTCCATTTTCGTTAAATCGGGAGATCTAGGTGGACATCTGACTGGCCCTGCTCGTCCTAGCCAGCTCTGAGGGAATTCCAGTATTTAAATACTTTTCGTATTGTTTGTGTGTGATGTGCAGGAGGCCCATCATGAAAAATCCTCTTTCTCTCCCTTACACGTTCTGGTATATGTCTCAATAGATGTGGTAAAATGTTTTCCAAAGGATCCAGATAATCTTCGCATTTTTTCTTATGCCCGGCCACAAAATGTCCGTAATCGTTTTCGCTTAGCTCTTGATGCAATTGTATAAGCTGGGGTGCATTTTGTTTTTGTTCAAGTACACTGTACACGGATGATTTGTTAATGTCTAAATCTTTTGAAATACGCCGAACACTTACATGGGGATCTTCAGTTAAGCGGAGCATAACTTGAAACACATTCTCTTCCTGTAAAACTGGTTTCACCCTTTCTTTCTTCTCATATGCCACACTTCATGTACCCTTGAAACGCTCCATAAGGTTATCGAGTTTTCCTACACGGTTGTCTTCTGTCTGAGTGACGTTCATTATACAATCTTATTGCCAATAAAAAAAATGTTATAATAAATAAATCATATCAAGCATTTCTTGTGTTGAAAAATTCATTTTATTTCTAAGAGAAACTAATACAAGCAGAACTTTGCTATTGAAGTTTCGATGACAGGTTTGTCCTAATAATTCCAATATTATTATGGTTTTCACAAACATGAATGTCTCAAAAAATACTAGGTTTAGGTATCAGGATTGCCTAATAAAACTGAAAAGGCATCAAGAGACCCTGTGAATAGAGATATAACATACAGAATGTTGCATTTAAACTTTCCAAGAACATTATTTGTTTCCTCGGATGAAACATGTACGTAAAAAACATTGGATATGAATGTCTACCACTGTTTCCATCACTCAGTATAATAAAATAGATTTTATCTTAAATGTGTGTTACGGGAAGTCACATGTACAATGATTTTAACGAAAAAGTGACTTTATATTCCGAAATACCCAGTACAAACCCCCGACACCATACATTGACAGAATTGCAAAAAAATTCGGTTCTAAAAATTAACAGCAATGCAGGGTGTCCTATACTAAGTGACATATAAATCCGAACACCCAGTTTAAATGGTTTTATTTTAATAAAACTTGGTGAATGTATTTATCTTACTGTAAATAACAAGTGAAAAAATTTTCAGCCTTATCAGTTGGACATTCCGGTTTTTATACTGCTTTTTTTTTTAATTCACTAACGCTCTAAAAATGAATATTTCAGCCGCACTAAAGAATCAACGTTAGCGGATTTTGGTTCTTGACATCCTTTACGATCGGTTACGATGCCTAGAGTACGGAGACCTGTACGATTTTGTCAACTTAGTGAGTTTGATAGGGGCCGTATAGTGGGACTTCGGGAAGCTGGACTTTCTTTTCGGGCAATTGCAGTTAGAGTGCAAAGAAGTGTAGACACTGTGGTTAGGTGTTGTCAGGCATGGCTTCGAGAAGGCCGTACGCAAAGAGCAAGGGGCACTGGACGCCGCCGTAGAACAACAGACCGTGAAGATCGCCGCCTAAGATTATTGGCCTTAAGGGACCGTTTCTCCACTACCAGGTCCATTGCAAATGAATGGTTTACAGAACACGGAAGACCTATTGGCATGCGAAGTGTTTACCGACGAATGAGAAGTTTTGGCTTGTTTTCATACCGGCCACACTGGGTCCTCCCTTTAACTCGAGAACACCGACGTAATCGCCTTGAGTGGTGCAGACAACGGTCACTCTGGGATCAGGAATGGAACAGTATTGTCTTTAGTGACGAGTCTCGATTTTGTTTAGGCATGCACGATGGTCGTGCCAGGGTTAGAAGGCGACGTGGTGAAAGGAGGAATCCACAGTTTTTTGTCGAAAGACATGTTCATCACACTGTTGGAGTTATGGTTTGGGGTGCTATAGCTTGTGGTTCCAGATCACCTTTAATCTTCATCAGAGGTAACATGAACGCGCAGCGTTATATCCACGAAGTTCTAGAACCCCATCTTTTACCCTATCTTGACACCCTGGCAAATCCAACTTTCCAACAAGATAATGCCCGACCACATGTTGCAAGAGTCACAATAGACTTCTTTCAACATAATGATGTCACATTGTTACCATGGCCACCAAGATCTCCCGACTTATCCCCAATTGAGCACGTGTGGGATATGATGGGAAGGAGATTGCTCAATTTGCAACGTCCTCCTCAGACTCTAGAAGCACTTCGAGAGGAGTTGATGGTTGCCTGGAATGAGATACCACAGGAGGACATTGACCACCTGATCAGAAGCATGCCTAGGCGCGTTGGAGAATGCGTAGCACATCAGGGTGCATCCACACATTATTAAAGGTCAAAGGACTTTAAAGCAGTGCAATCATTTTGAAATTTTTATCATTTACTTATTATGCTTCATTAAGTACTTATACAAAATTTTATTAAAATAAAACCATTTAAACTGGGTGTTCGGATTTATATGTCACTTAGTATATTTAAAAATACAAGGTTATATATTTCCACTCATTTATGGAACACCCGGTATAGCTGATAGTAATTTTAGGTTGTAGCTCTGCCTACAACTTTTGTATTTACCTTTTTTCTGCAACTCTAATAGTAACGAAGATATTGAGCTTTGACGCTATTTGGACACCCGGTATAATACTAAAATTATCACGTAGAACCGAGAACCCAAAAAAATGTTTGATAAATACTCCGAATATTCAAAAGAAAACGCTCTAATACCACTAACGGAACGTTTGTGACCGAGTGACGTCATGCGCAAAGGAGAAAGTACGAAATTCAATTGACAAGTGAGCATAATATATCTTCTCCAGGTATATTATGGCATACTAGTTTGCCGAAAGTTCTCAAATTTGGTTGAACAGCTTATAATCCGTTCTTGGTACCATCTATCGGTGAAGCTTCACATAAAGCACATTTCTTACCCAGATATCATAATGGTGCATAAGTTATATTTCTTAATTAAGATTTTCTCCTGTAGATGTCGGTAAATAACAACTAGTGACGTCTAGTGAATAGTGATATATAAGCAGTTTCTAGTTCGCTTCAATAGATAGCACTGCAAATTGTGCCATCTAGAAGCAGAAATTTGAAGTAATAATGAAATTTACAGATCTCTATTATAACGGTTCAAAGTGACAAGCAAGTAAATTGAAAAGGTTTCTGGTGGAATATTTCAAAAAACCCCAGTGGAATAACCTATGCATCATTCTTAATTCCAAATTCTAGTGCTATTTTTGTTTATAAGTCCTTCTTCATATGTCATGCAAGTACAAGTCGAAAGTGCTATTTGATTCCAGACATTGAATAAATTCTTCAAATATTCGCAAATCCTCTGTGCTTGTTCTACAGACCCTACTGACCGTTCTAGTTAGTTGAATTAATTAATTTGTTTTTGGAAATAAAATGTCTACTCCAGCTCGTCGACGCCTCATGAGAGATTTCAAAAGGTTCGTATATGATTCATCTTTGCTCAGTAATTGCGTGTATTTAGTTATAGTTTGAAGCAATATCGAGAATTGGACTTCAGTAGGATAGTCTGTTGTTTATGTGTGTCAATGTTAAAGGTTACAGGAAGATCCTCCAACAGGAGTAAGTGGAGCACCCACTGATAATAACATCATGATTTGGAATGCAGTTATCTTCGGCCCACATGATACGCCCTTTGAAGATGGTACATTTAAGTTAACTATCGAATTTACAGAAGAGTATCCTAATAAGCCTCCAACTGTGAGATTTGTAAGTCACATGTTTCATCCAAATGTTTATGCAGATGGAGGGATTTGTTTAGATATATTGCAGAACCGATGGAGCCCTACATACGACGTCTCTGCAATACTAACTTCAATTCAAGTAAGTGTAAAGTAGGTCATTGCAAATAACCTTCACCTCTAGCAAGTATTTTATGGTGCAGATATTCAATTGCTTTGTGGTTCACATACCATTGTGCCATCTTAGACATCACTGTAGCACTACCGCTCATGCATCAGTGTTGTCAGACATCTCACATTTGGGTGGAAACTCCAGATTTAAAAACAATTATCAAATTCTAAATCCACCAATCAAAAAAAATTAAGTTTCCCTTTTTATGCTGTGACTCAAATTTGCTCTTATTGTTGTGATCTTGGTAACCTGAAAAGTAATAAGAAGCCGATTGGATTGAAGCAAAGTTCAACAGCATTATGAGCCAGAAAAGTGACAACTGGGTAAACAGGAAAACCACAATAATAAAAATTCTTTCAATTTGATTCATGTTTACTTGTCCCACATTTTGCTGAAAATTTATAATTCAGCATGACCACCAATAGTATGTGTAGACTAAGCTCCATCTAGAATTTTTTATACTAATACATGCTTAATTAAAATGCTTCAAAAAGTTATGTGCTATTCTGAATTTCCTTAAGCCCATATATAGATCATCTTTCTGACTAAAAGACATGCTTTTTAAGCATTCCTAGTAAATACAAAGCATTTTCAGTTTGTAGGCTCATATGAGTCCTATGACACCCTATTCTATAATAACCCATCTCGTTTTGCATAAAGTTTGAAGATATAATGTTTGCTTAAACATGGCAGATTTGAATAATCCATGCTTGTAAAATTTTGCCTTGTTCAAAAAGCCTACTACTCTCTGAAGTTATTGTATGGAAACAGACATTTTTCCCATTACAATTAAAGAAAATGTTATGTGAATGTTTGGTTCTATACATTTCAACTATTCAGATGACCTATATTGCTATCTATAAACACAAAATCCAAATTGTTCAGAACCCATGCTAACATTTTATTTATGGAGTTAAAAAACTAAAGAATATCACATGAACTGCATGATGTTGGTTGGCTGAATATGGTTAATAGAACTTTACACTTGTTATGCCTTTTCGATAGAATTCTTTTGCACAGTCTACCAACTACTTGTTTGATAGGAATACATTTCATACTAATGTACATAATATAAACGGACAATCCAGAGTCTGCTAACACCTCCTTTATTGGGCACTGTACCCTTCTAGCATGCTTTTAGTTTCCAAATATGCAAAATGTCAGTCTGCCATCAAGTTATAAAAAATATGAATTTGCTAGGGTTAAATCTGAAGTCAGAAACATGTTGTTTGATCAACAAAAGTTATTTTTTCCCTCTACTCTGTTAAGGTTCTAAGGGGCTGTTCAAGTATTACGAGACCACTATGTGGGGGGCAGGGAGGTCTTCGCTTTGCTTATTTTGGATGACATGGGGGGTAGGGGAGTCTAGATGATGATTACGTCATCGATAGTTATTTACTTCTTTACCCGAATGGCAACCCTCACATTGTCTTTGCTTGAAAACGATACTCATTTTCGGATATTCCCGCAAATAATGCATTACGTTTAGTGAACAGCGCGTGGTAATTCCCCTACTCGCTTTAGAACCGAGTAGGGGAATTACCGCGCGTTGTTCACTTGTCTAAATTTTCTCTATCAGTGTATTGTTTCATTTGGATACTATAGCGAGTAGACATATTGTAAGCATAGTAAAGCAAGTTAACATTTGTGTTACCATTGATTCCATTAGCCAAGGTTTAATGTTTAAATAAGATGTCGTTTCACATAGACAAATCCAAGTTATACCAAAAATTGTTTGAAAGTTTTAAAAAATCTCATACAAGTTCGAAAAATTTAGTTAACGAAGTGTGACGAAATTACAAATTACAAGCAAAATCCGACAAGGAACTAGATATTATTGTATCTAAGAGAATCGAAGAAGAATTGCAAGCAGCGACTAAGAATAAATTCAATCTACTAAATTTTTTTTCTAAGGTGAGTGACGAAATCATTTTAGGTACCTATGAGTACTAGAAATATTAGAAATAGCCAAAAAGTTTCTCTTTACTGATTAGAAAATATTATGGCCTATCTCAAAGTATAGAGGTAATATTCATTATATTATAGATTTATTTCTTATGATTGATTCCGTCAATTGGTCACAAAGTACAGGATGTTAGTTTTATACATATGTACAGAAAACTAACACCCTGTATTTTGTGACCGGAACAAATTGCTCGTTTAAACATATTAGATTTAAAGCCATAGGGTTTTGTATTTACCATATATATTGCAATACGTTGTATTTATGTAGCTTAATAAGAGAATCTTTAGCAGAAGTCATAGAAAGTTTTTATTTTACAACCTGTAAACCTGCAGAAAAAACACAAATTATACAGTCAGCTTCAAATATTAAAAAAGAGGAAGAAGATAAAATAAAACACGGTAATGAATCACAACAGCAATGCGAAATTAATGAAAATACAGATAAACAGAGAGCAAAACCTTCTCAGGAAGCTATGAAAAATAAGATTGTTCTACTCAAAAAAAATCTGAATGCTTTGTATTCTGCCAGAGATACTATGCCAAGCCGTGCTGAAGTTGATAAACAGATCATTAAGTTGCGCGAGGAAATAAAAACAGCAAAATAGTCTATAAACAGGAAGGTTCAAAACGCAGTTGCCCAGAAGAAACACAGGGATGGTATGAAAAGAAAGTTAGAAGATATTTGTCATGAAATAAAAAAAAGACTATCTCTGAGGGATTCAGTGGGGCGTCCTAATCTTGAAAGCAATCAACATTCACTATTGAAAACAATCGCGGATATAGCTTTATTTGGGAGTGCAGCAGATGATAGAAGACGAACGGAATCAATTCGCAGCGTAAGAACTGTTGATGAACTCACACAAGAATTACGTAAAATAGGATTTGACATTAGTCGCAGTGGGACATATCTTCGTTTGATTCCCAGAAAATCTAATTCTGCAGAGGGACGAAGAAATGTATCGAGAGACCCTGTTAAACTCATTCGGGCTCAAACTGATCACCACAAGAGCCACTTAGATAGCAAGTTCGCTGAAACATCAATCCATTATTTAGAGAACATAGCATCCATACTTGGACCAGATCAAGTATTTTTCATATCTCTAATGCACATGGAATATAGAATCAATACCATCTGTTTATGCTGGTATCAAAATCACTTCCAATATGCTAGGACAACCGCAAGCCGTTGGATATTCTGGACCAACATACATCGCTATTCGAAGTGGAAAGCATAGTTCATCTACTGCTAATACTCATGCTCAGGATTTCGAGACGCTTCTCGAACTTGAGGAGTTTCGACCTTTAGCTAAAACTGATCATGGACTAGTAAAACCAGTGGTAATCATGACGCTTGATGGAGGGCCAGATGAAAATCCACGTTATCAAAAAGTCATAGGGTTTGCTATACAACACTTTAAGCGACATGATCTCGATGCATTGTTTTTAGCTACCAATGCTCCTGGAAGAAGCGAGTATAACAGAGTAGAGCGCAGAACGGCTCCTCTTAGTCGGGAACTGGCTGATTTAATATAATATTGCCTCATGACCATTTTGGGTCTCATTTGGATGAACGTGGCGTTACAATTGATGAACATTTAGAAAGATCTAATTTCGAATTTGCAGGTAATGTATTAGCTGAAGAATGGAGTTCAATGGAAATTGATGGCTATAATGTTAATGCAAAAGATGTTGGGGCAGATGAACAAGATCTTCCTGATTTTCCAGACATTAAATGGTATTCAGAACATGTGCGTGAGAGCCAATACTTGCTCCAAATTGTAAAATTTAGAAATACAGAATGCTGTCGTCCAAGCCGTGGCCTATTTAGATTACTAGACAATAGGTTTAATCCACCACCTGTAAAAATAAAACAAAAAGTTGATAAAATTGAAGCTATCAAGTCGAACATGCAAAACGTGTGGTCTTTATCATGGTCACTAAATCGTCACATCGAAAATATCCATAAAAAAGTAAACACGCACACTGATAGGAAAGTTAGACCTGTTTCATTTTTTTATGTCTTAGGCTAAGGGCATATTTGTGCCTCAATGAAGCAGCAGCTCTGAGACTGAATACAAAAGAACTACCTATTCAGGCAAGGGCGGATTTAGAATTTCGTCTAGAGGGGGGGGGGGGGGGGGAACTTCTAGATTGTATTCTATTATTGCTCCCGAAATAATAATCCATTGTGTTCTATCTGGTCAAGGCCAGCTTGAAAAAAGATAACATGGAAATTGCTCAGAAAGCCAATATTTTATTATATGAGAAAAACATATGTACGTGGCATTTATAATTAACTAGTGTAATAATATTAAAGATTCACACATAAAAAACTTCATTGCTCTGTTAACCGACAAAAAATAAATAAAACATTCTGAGGGACCACGAGACATATCCCAGTCCATTCCACACAAAACAAGGTCTCTGATTGCGAAAACGAATATGAGACCAAAAAATTCTCATTATCGTATGTACGCTAGACAAGACAAAGAAGGATGTAGACCATCTATAGATCGTGTCTGGAGACTGTCTCCAGACTGCCTATAGACAAATTGCGCAACGGTATCTACTAGTATGTAATAAGCTTAAGGATTAAGACTCTGAACTGCCCTTTAAACAATTCAAGTAAATGGTGCAAATACTGACACAATCAAGCACTTCTATTATATCAGCAGGTGATACAAATATCTATAGGTATAGCCAATTATGATTTCTTTTTTATACGGAAGCAGCCGCGCAGGCAGAAGCCTAAATGCCGGAACACCACGGCTGCTATGATGGTCCCAAAGAAATTTTGTTAACCCGAGGTTTGTAGAACTGGGAGAAGCTTCCTCGTGTAGATTTTTCCAGAATCTCGACACCCTTGAGACAAAGGCGCGGTCGTATCGGCCAGCTCTGGATGTACGGATTACGGCACGGTTAGGATGGGAGGCCAAAGTCAAAAGGCACATCGCGCGGCGGCATCATGGACGATAGCTCTGAGGAGCAAACCCCTTGGTGTAGCGCCGGTACGAAACGATCCCTAGATTGTCTGTTAGAGAAGAGTCATCCATCGATCAGTCGGACAGCCCTCCTCTGGTCAGCATCGAGCATAAATAAAAAGGTCATGCGGAAAAAAGTACTTCTTAGCCCTAAACAATTAGCCTAACTTTTTCCCAGCAGCTGCCGCTATTGACGAGATGAGTTCGTGCCAGATCAGGTCCTCGGTGGTCTGGACTCTGACCTGTCGAAATAAATGGCTCTTTGGCAGAACACGGCCATCCATCGGAACCAGATGAGCTTTAGGACGCTTTTTGTTCGTCAAGGTACAGTACTGTGTTTTGGAAGCATTAAACTGTACAAGATTGTTGCGTCTTCGCGTCGTCGCGAGTCTTCTTTTCTCCAGCTCAGCGGTAGAGATCAGCTTGTCACCCTGAATTCCTGCATATAGAGTGCTGTCATTAGCGAAGCTATGGATTCTGTTGATCGTGCAGGAAAGGAGGCCGTTGATATGTAAGTGGAACAGTGTCAGAGCCAAGACCGATCCCTGGGGAACACCCGCGTTGACGTTTTGGGATGAAGAGGAGAACCCGTCAATTACGACGGAAATCTTGCAGCCAGAGATAAAGTCAGCCACCTATCTGCAAAGATTTTCGGGGAGGCCATAGAATGGAAGTTTGCTTAAAAGGGCGACGTGCCACAGCTGATCGAACGCTTTCGTGATGTCAAGAGCAGCGACGTAAGCCTCACCATAAGACTGGATGAGTTTACTCCACAATTGCGTAGCGTAAGCTAGGAGGTTCCCTGTGGATCGCTGGTGCCGGAAACCATACTGGCTGTCGCTAATCAAGCTGTCACGTTCGAGGTAGTCCAGAAGCTCTAGATTTAGACACCTCTAAGTCACCTTACTTAAAACGGAAAACAGTGCTATAGGCCTGTAGTTGTAAGGGTCGATCTTAGATCCTTTTTTTGGGATGGGTTGGACATGAGCGAATTTTCAGTTTTCTGGGAAGGTGCCAGATTCATAAGATATCTGGAAGAGATGCGAGAGAACTGGAGCAAGCTCACCTCTCCAGTACAATGGCGGGAATCAAGTTCGGGCTAGAAGCTTTGTTGATGTCGAGCGATAAGAGCACTCGTCTCTGTGATTTAAACGACTTCAATATAGACACATACGCGAGAGGAGATGCGGGACGTGTGGTATTGATTTTGAGCATCGATCGACGCAGTTTCTAGACAGGCCACAGGCCCACCGCTAAACAAATCTCATAAATGTCTATTTCTAATTTAGGCGTTCAACTAACATAGTGCTTCGCTGCAACACCAACCCCGAACAAAATCAGTCAAGCTTTACACACTTTTCAATTTACTATTGAGCAACAAACGGAACATAAATCACTTTTTAAGTGCAATTTGTATAGCTAATATAATACCCAGACTTAGATTTGTCACAATATTCGTATATACGTATAAATCGTAAGAGTTGGGCTGTAAACAAGTGATGTCGAAGAGAGACAGCATTTGGAATACCAAAGAATACCAAAAAATCATAATGCTCAGTTCCTATACTTATAGTTAGTATGCCTCTGTCACCATGATGTTACAGAAAGTAACACAATGGTGTTAGATTGCAAAAGCCCCTCCCCCTAAATCCGCCAGTGTCAGTGCGCCTTTGCAAAAAATATGGTGGATCTATCGAGCCCCCTTTTTAGATAGTGTGGAGAGTCATAAAAAACTACAAATCATGTTATCTTCAATTATCCGACTCTTAACAGATAGTGGAACCACCTGCGTGAAAAACTAAAAGGAACAGCAGGTGGCATAGGTCAAAATTTCTGTGAGATTCATTACGAACTTTGAATGAGACTCTACCAAATACTTGTGACTTGGAATACCCACTAAACCTCATATGTGTGAGGCATCTATTAGGAAAATGAACTCCAGCAACTAAAAGGAAAACATAAAAAATGCCTCAGGCTATGAATAATCAGATATTGCATGTGTTAATACAGAATATAGACGCAGCTTGACATTATTGTAATTATACATTTCTTCAATTCTTCCAATTAATTGTTGAAGGTCACTAAATAATCAAGTATGAGACAGTACATTTACTTGCAATGAAGTTTATCTACAGTATTTTTATCTCAAATATAAAGATGGTATATAAATTTTTGACCCTTCAGCAAATACAATTATCTATGAATATCAGTTGTTTTGATGCATACTCACAATCTTAAATGGCAGTAATTATGAACATTTAATTGTTAATATAATGTATTTTGGCACAGTATTTCCTTATGGCTAAAGTTCAGTGACCTCACGTGTAAAAGTACTCTTTATCTCAGACAGTTATTTTGGCAAATATATTTTTAACCAAGCAATGCAGATTAATATATACCTACATATTCGTACAAATGCTTTGCTGTCGTTTTAAGAAATCCATGGAACATGTAATTGTAATTTTCTCAAAATAAAATAAACTCTTATTTAAAACATTTTGGAATGTTAAGTCAAATTCATATATGTATGTATATATATACAGAATTTTTCAAATTCGACCCTCACCATTGGGAAACTGTAGGAGATACGTCGTTTAATTTTTTCCTGACTTTAATTGTAGTGGGATCTCAAAATAAATTGGATATCAACATTGCCACTTTTTCTTCACTACAAGATGACATAATTAGAATTTCAAATGATGATTTGACTCTTGTCCTCCAGCATCAACTTGTTTTTTTTTTCTTATGGACAGCATATTGGATTTTTGCACATATGAGTTTTCAATTCTTTTTCGAAAAATGTATAAATACATCATACATTGACATTAAAAAACCTTGGTATTATTCAATAATAGCAGAATATTCTAGGTAGGCCTTGAAATTATCATATAGTCATTTGTTTCGCATACCTGATTTATCCCAAAATCACTTTTTTTTCTGACTTTATTTGAGATGGAATTTTAAAACAAATTGTATATTGTCGTTGTTACTTATTCTTCTCTACAAGATGGGGTACATTTCATCTTTCGACTTTGTTTTTTCTTATGAACGCTATATTGGAATTTTGTACATTTAAATGGACTTTTCAGTCCTAAATTTACTGATGTAATTCCTTAGTTGGCCATAAATTTGTTGCTTGATGAAAATTATAAGGAAATAAAAAGGTATGGTGAAACCTGAATACAAAATGAAGATTTTATTGATGGCAATAATAACAATAAGCATAAATAAGAGGAATTAAATGATCGCAGATGTTCAAAATTATGTTCCTTGTTTTGTAGGCTAAGCCGGTCTCCTCTCTGCACATTGTTCGCTACTCGATTCATTTCTCTTCTTCTCAGTCTTCCAAACTCTGTTGCTATGTTCAGTTTGAGGTCAGGTCTGGTATACGAAAAAAATTAAATCTGATAATTTCATGACATACTTAGGACGTAATGATTTTGTGGAAAAACCAAAGTTTGGCAATGACAGTGAATGTCATATTACACATAATCATAATTAACAACTCTATTCATCTACGCAAAAATTCAATACGGCGTCCATAAGAAACAAATAAAGTTTGTGCTGGAGGACACGAGACGAAACGTCATATTTCTAATTATGCCATCTTGTATGGGAGAAAAAGTGGTAATGTTAACATGCAATTTATTTTGAAGTATTTTTTCAAATAAAGGAAAAAATTAAAGTTATTTTGGGATAAATCTGGTATGCGAAACAAATTACACTATCTGATAATTTCAACGCCTACCTAGGAAATTCTGCTTTTGTTGAAATGTCTAAGGTTTGGCAATGTCAACTTATGATGTAGTATACATTTTTAGAATCAGAATTAAAAACGCAATTTCTCTGTGCACTAATCTAATATGGCGTCCATAAGAAAAAATAAAGTTGATGCTGGAGGACAAGAGTCGAAACGTCATATTGAAATTCAATTATGCCATCTCATAGAGGAGAAAAAGTGACAACTTGAAAAGTGCAATTTATTTTGAAATCCCGCTACAAATAGTCAGAGAATAAGGATTTTGGGAAAATTCGTTTTTTTTTGTGCGTCTCTCCACAGGGAGTACTTTGAATTTCGAAACTTTGTAAGCGGCATTTTGTTGATTACCTTGATACGCAACTTTGCCCCCATTTAAGTGACTTTGTATCTCTTACAGTTTCAGAGATCTCAATGGTGAGGGTCGAATTTGAAACAGCCTGTATATGCCCCAGACCACTTCAACTGGTTTTCCTCTATTTTTTCTAAGACGGATCTAACCTCTAACTCACTTCTTTGTATTTGGATACCTAGTTATTTGGAAGTCTCTACTTGATCTATATGTTATCCTTCAGAAGTCATTTTAAGTTCTTTTGGTTTGTATTATTATTATTATTATTATTATTATTATTATTATTATTATTGTATATATAAATATCATATGGATAGTCTCGGGAACAAAATGGTTGGATACATACAAACTTTGCAAAAACATGTATTATTACTCTTTTTGACATATAGAAATTGAGGTATTTCTATAAATTGTGACTTCCAAAGAAGTCTAAGCAGCTAGAGAATTGATCAAAAACATGTTAGACATCGTGCAAAACTAATCAGGTCACTGATATAGTAGTTTACAGAGGATTTCATATGATACTGTTTTCTTTTCAGTCACTTCTAAGTGATCCAAATCCTAACTCGCCAGCCAACTCAATGGCCGCACAGTTATATAAAGAAAATAGAAGAGAGTATGAAAAACGAGTAAAGGCTTGTGTGGAACAAAGTTTCATCGACTAGCACTGTGGCAGAGAGCCTTCCCCACAACAGCACACAATTAATGTTTCACTGCATAAGTTCTGGCTGCTCTTCAGTTTTTTAAGTTGCAAATTCATCACTAGGTTTTTTGAATGTATCTCCTTGTCATTTTATCTTACCAACATATAGTCCACAAATAAATGTAAATTCGGAGAGTAACACACATAAATTAGACTCTTAAGTGATTGTTTCACTTTATTCACTGTAGATGTTTCATTTGAAGTATTTTGAATCATTGATAGTTTCAAATTATCAATTCATTTTCTAGCCAGCCAGCAAAATAATCATTCATTATCTCCACCATGAAGCTAGATAATCAAATAAAGGAAGCTGTGAAATGCTATCTATTTGACGTTATATTATTCCCAAATCACAGGCTCATTTCCGTGACTCTTACGGCAGGTATGATGAAGCATTGTGTTTTAGTTTTTCTTCAGAAACGTTCATGATAACTGAATGTATATGCAAAGCAGAAGCTTTATTTTATATTTATATATAAAAGAATTTTCAGCAGAATTGTAGAATCAATGTTTCAATTTCAGGGAAATATATGTTAGTTGTTTACTACTGTTTTTACATGTATATGATCTTGGATAGACAGTTTTTTAGAGCTTCTCTTTATTTAGCTAGTACTCACCCTTGAACAGATGTTCAATGTTTGATTTTTGCTTTGAATCTGTAGGTTTTGGCTGTTTTTAGAAACATACTTGTATGGTTAGAATAGTTTCATAATTTTCTATGGTTTTATTTTTATTAGAAATAAAACCCATTACTTCTGTGTTAACTCAAAAGTTCTGTTCTAATCATGTTTTTCAATTTAGGCTTTACATCTATCAGATACACTATTTTTTTTACTGCCTATCCCTTATTTATAGGTAGTTAGTTGTGTTATATAATTACGTATACTTAATAAATTATTATCATTACAAATTCTGTGTATCAGTATAATTGTCCAACACATCCTGACATTTATAAAGTTTTAAAAAATATTAGTGTTATGACATATATAGGCAACTAAGGAACATGCTTGAGTTCTAGGTCAGTCAACATCGATGAAAGCTTTGGAGGCACAACGCAACATTATTTGAGGTTTCTGTGAAGTCAGCGGTGGATTTGAAGGGGGCGTGCCCCTCCATAAACTGTATTTTTTTCAAGAAAACGGGATATCTCGGTGTAAAAATTACCTTCCTAGATCTTTTTTACAGCCGTCAGCTTTTATAGCCACTCTGAGGTATACAAGCTCTCCCTCAAGGGTATTATAATAAATTGTAGTCACCGTTCTTGGCGGTTACATCATCAACGCCAAATGAAATAACTAAACAGATCGAGTCTCCGGACCATGGACAGGTCTCAATTTTTCTAACTGGGAAACCGATTCAAAATTATTTACTAATCGTAATTATCAAAAATCTAATCTAGTACATAAACATGGGTAGATTATGACACGCCATTTGATGTTTTTTAAAGTTTAAATAAAAAATACGTAATTTACAATATAATACAAAATAACACATCTATTTGCTAACTTGAGGGAACATTTAACATTGGATGTGGATATATATGAGAGCTTTAAAAGAACCATCTTCAATAATAAAAATGCTCAATTCTTCCTGGAATGCTAGACAAAAAAATACATTCTGATGATGATGCTCTTAAACTCGAGCTTTTAAATCTATGTCGCCTTAATAAACTTCCATATCTATCAAAATATCTAACAATCTACATTAAGGTGCTCACATAGAAAATTAAGAATTACAAGTTTTCAAAATTGTTTGAATAAAAGTATGAATTATTGGATATCTTTATTAAAGTCATCTGAACTTTCTTCCAAGTGAATGAATATATTAGTCTCCTCCCTATTAAACACTTGATGCTTGGCACAGACTGTAGAAGTCACCTTCGCTAGAGCATCGTCAAAAACTTTCAAAACTTCCTTGTCACCATAGTCATTTTCCCCAATATGACGATCATAGTATTGTTTGGCTATTCCCCAGACGAACTCAATAGGCTTGTATTGACAATGGTAAGAGGGAGCCGCAAAATTTGATGTCCATGTTCATGTAATATTTCGTCTATGATATATTTTTTATATATCGAAGTAACCGCGCAGGCAGAAGCCTAAATGCCGGAACACCGCGGCTGCTATAATGATTCCAAAGAAATTTTGTTAATACGATTTTAGAACTGCCTAAGGTTAGTTGAACTGGGAAAAGCTTCCTCTTGTAGATTGTTCCACAATCTCGACACCCTCGGGACAAAGGAGCGGTCGTACCGACCAGTTCTGGATGTACGAAGTTCGACACGGTTAGGATGGGACGCCAAAGTCAGGCGGGTCTGTCTGGCAAGCACATCGCGCGACGGCATCATGGAAGAGAGCTCTGAGGAGCAAAGCCTGTTGGTGTAGCGGTAGAAAAGAGCTAGGTCGCCGACGGCCCGCCGGTGCGAAAGGGTCCCGAGACTGTCGGTTAGAGAAGAGTCATCGATCAGTCGGACCGCCCTCCTCTGGACAGCATCAAGCATGGATACTGTAATCGGGGCGGCAGCACCCCAAACGTGTGAGGAATACTCGAGGCTAGGCCTTATCTGGGCCTTGTATAGAGTGAGGTCATGCGGAGAAAAGTACTTCTTAGCCCAAAACAAGTAGCCTAGCTTTTTCCCATCAGCTGCAGCTATTGACGAGATGTGTTCGTGCCAGATCAAGTCTTCGGTGATCTGGATTCGGACCAGCTGAAATAAACGGCTTTTTAGCAGAACTCAGTCATCTATCGAAACCGGACAAACCTAGGACGCTTTTTGTTCGTCAAGGTCAGTACTGCGCTTTGGAAGCATTAAACTGTTGTTTGTCCCATCCCCAAGCAGTTATAACCTCCAGGACTCTCGTCAGAGAGGAAGTCGCTGCTAGTCTTTTTTTTCCAGCTCACCGGTAGAGTTCTAGCGTAGGATGAGCGCTAGGACGCTTTTTGTTCGTCAAAGTACAATACTGTGTTTTGGAAGCATTGAACTGTACAAGATTGTTGCGTTCCCAAGCAGTGATAGCCTCCAGGTCTCTTGTCAGAGAGGAAGTCGTCGCTAGTCTTCTTTTTTCCAGCTCAGCGGCAGAGATCGCATGTAGAGTGCTGTCATCAGCGAAGCTGTGGATTGGGTTGATCGTGCAGGAAAGGAGGCCGTTGATATGTAAGAGGAACAGTGTCGGAGCCAATACCGATCCCTGGGGAACACCCGCGTTGGCGTTGTGGGATGACGAGGAGAACCCGTCAATTACGACGGATATCTTGCGCCCAGAGATAAAGTCATCCACCCATCTGATCGAACGCTTTCGTGATGCCAAGAGCATAGACATGAGCCTCACCATAAGACAGGATGAGTTTACTCCACAATTGCGTGACGTAAGCTAGGAGGTCCCCTGTGGATCGTTGGTGCCGGAAACCATAGTGGCTGTCGCGAATCAAGCTGTGACGTTCGAGGTAGTCCAGAAGCTCGCGATTTATGCACCTCTCCATCACCTTACTTATAACAGAAAGCAGAGCTATAGGCCTGTAGTTGTAAATTTCGGTCTTAGATCCTTTTTTAGGATAGGTTGGACATGAGCAAATTTCCAGTTTTCTGGGAAGGTGCCGGATTCATAAGATATATGGAAGAGACGCGAAAGAACTGGAGCAAGCTCCGCTGCACACCTCTTCAGTACAATGACAGGACTCAAGCCCGGACCAGAAGCTTTGTTGATGTCGAGAGACAAGAGCACTCGTCTTACGGTCTTATGTCTGAATGTTACCCCCCGCATAGTGTAGGGAATTCTTTGAATTGACGGCACCTGGGCGTTGGGGGGGACGTCCATGGTGGAGTTGGCAGCAAAGATCTTGGTTAGCACTTCCGCCTTGGCCGATACAATCGTTCCATCCTGACACGTAAGTGGTGGAAGGCTAGTGTGGAGAAGTTATTTTCAATCTGCTTGGCCAGCATCCAGAAAGACCGACTACCATTGGGTAGTGACATTACCCTATAATTAACTCTTATATCCTGCTGGTTTTTGGCATTGCAAACCGCCTCGTTATATGTGTTTCTGGACTCGACGTCGGCTTGTGTGTTCTCTACAGTGGGGTTTTGTAAGAAGGTTCTGTGTGCCTTGATCTTCTGCTGGCGAGCAGTGGCAAACGATTTGTTAAACCAGCCGTTGGACCCTGGCTTAGGCACTTTCACTGTATGAGGCATGTATTCCTCCATTCCGAGGTCGATAAGTTCGGTTATCGAAGAGCAGACGGCCGACACATCCGCGTCAGTGAAACAGACATTTCTCCAAGGAAAGGTAAAGAGGATGTCTCTGAGCCCCTCAAAGTCGGCATGTGCGTAATGCCAAATTTTGCGGCCTGTGCGAGTTTCTGCTGAAACAGCGGGTTCTGACCGAAACCTAACCTCCACAACACAGTGGTCTGAGTCACCCAGGGGAGACAGGACAGCAGAGTTGTAAGGGACAGGATGCGTGCTCAGAAAGAGATCCACGCGGGGCAAAAAAGTAGGGCCCGTCACCAGCTGGGTCAGCCCTTGAGTAAGAGCGAACGCTTTAACTGCACGAGCTGCTGCATCGGTCTTGTTTGAGCCCAACTAAAGCAAATTATGGTCATTGAAATCACCGAGGAGAACTACCTCTGAAGTGGAGTGATTGATGTTCAGGAAGTCGATCTTGACGGCGAGGTATTCAAGAAGAAATCCCAGTTTTGGCCCGAGGGCAGCGATAAAGGCCACAAATAAATTTGGGGACGTTTTGGAGTTGAGGCGAAAGAAACATATCTGCAGCAGGAAACAACTCCCACGTTCTTTCTCAGATTGGAGTCCACCTTTGGTAAGCTAAGATGGTTAATCGTGAAAAAAATGTTATCTTCGATATTGTTCCCTCGTGTCCACCCTCCATCCGGACATTCTGAGAGTGGAGTGAGCTTACATCCGGAATTCTTAGTACTCGAGGGATCCATCATCATTAATTGCTTTGTTTTGGAAGATAACCGACTGCATAGCTTAGGTGTAGAAACATGCGGTCATTTATAAGACACCCTGGGAAAAGCTATAGGGTGGTACCGCCTCGGTCGACTGGTCCTTGTCTACCACCTTCTTTTTGCGTGTTAATGATATTAAATAGACCTAAAGTGGCCCGTTGGCGGACTTGTACCGCCACCCGGCAATCGGTACTGAGGTATTCCTCAACGCGTGTACAATCACTTGTACGGGAAGAAGTATACTGGATACAACAACTTCCGGAACAAGCATTTGCCACGGCCCCGCTCAGTAGGGGTTGGGGTTTTTGAAATTTAATATAGATATTACAGTTATTTTTTAGACTTTAGTTGTTGAAGTTAGATTCACGGCATAGTTGTTTTCTCAGTTTTTGAACCGGTGTTGATCGCATGTAGAAATGTTGGAAAAAAACTATATCTGTTAGATCGTAATTATTTTAATAATGTATGTTTGTACTAAATAAGTACAGGAATACAGGGCTGTACATATTCACGTTTTGTGCAGCAGCTCTGTGATTTAGCTGACTTCAATATAGCAACATAAATAGACACATACACGAGAGGAGATGCGGGACGTGTGGTATTGATTTTGAGCATCGATAGACGCAGTTTCTAGAGAGCCCACAGGCCCACCGCTAAACAAATCTCATAAATGTCTATTTCCAATTTAGGCGTTCATCTAACATAGTGCTTCGCTGCAACATCAACCCCGAACAAAATCAGTCAAGCTTTACGCACTTTTCAAATTACTATTGAGCAACAAACAGAACATAAATCACTTTTTAAGTGCAATCTGTATAGCTAATATGTTACCCAGACTTAGATTTGTCACAATATTCGTATATACGTATAAATCTTTAGAGTTGGGCTGTAAACAAGTGATGTCAAAGAGGGACAGCATTTGGAATACCAAAGGATACCAAA